CAGCTACTCAGGAGGCTGAGGCAGAAGGATTGCTTGAGCCTAGGAGTTTGAGGTTGCTGTGAGCTAGGTTGACACCAGGGCACTCTAGCCTGGGCAACAAAACGAGATTCTGTCTCAAAAAAAAAAAAAGAAAGAAAGAAAAGAAAAGAAAAGAAAAAACGATGCATGAGTATTTAATTAGCTCTCACTCCAGTTTTTAGTGATATGGAATATGATTTTAACTTTTTTTATTTGGAAAACTTACTTCACATTTTATTAGTATATAAAAGAGAACTGTGTTTGCTTAAGGCTCAAGGCTATAAAGTTGAAAGGACGCTGGGCTTTGGTTTAATTGCAAAGGGTAGCAATCTCCCACAGGGAAGAGCACTCCCTCCCCTCTGGGCTCCAGCACTTCTCCCCTGTTCTTCTCCTTCCCTAACCACGGTTCCTCAGTCCCTGTCAGCAACAGGATCCTTTCTCTGCCCACGTGCTACGTGATGATGTTCCTCTCTGTTCAGTCTTTATTTCACTCTAGAAGCCTCTGTAGGCAATCTCATCCATGGCCTTGGTCTTCCCACTCCTTTACCTAGAGAGCTCACTGGGTTCTCCCAACAATTCCAAAGCCTAATCATTTTCTTCTTGTCCACCCCTCCCCCCGACATTCCATTTTTTTCTCTCTCACTCCGGTCTTGGCACCACTGCCTACCCAGCCACACAGGTGAGAAATCTGGGAGTCATTTTGAACGTTCCCCAGCTACATCCAATAAGTCTTCATCCAGTGAGATTTTCTCATTTATTTCTCCTCAGCTGCTCTCAACCATACCCTTTTCTTCCTATTCCCTCTGCCATTGTTTTGGTTAGGCATGGCCCTCACCACCTGTCTGCAGGATCATGCGCAACTGGTCTCTGGCCTGCAACCAAAGTCCCTTCCAGAGCACATCCCCTGCCTCCAGTTGCTATATAGTCAACTGTCCCTTGAGGAGAACTTATTGTCTTCCTTCCCCAACTCAAAACGTTTTCTGGTTTCTTTGTGCCTGCAGAATAATAGCACAAAAGCCCCTACACATACCACATACTTTTTTCCCAATTATCCTTCCAACTTTATATCCCATATTAAAAATTTCATGTATTAAAGTATGTCAAGTTTCCAGAAGATACCATGCTATTTTAGGCCTCTCTGCCTTGGTGAATATGCACCTCTACTTCGGTTGCCTTGCTGACTTCTACTTATTTGCTTTTCAAGGATTGAGTCAGGTGTGTCTCCCTTTCCTAAACCATCTGAGCCTTGCAGCCTAGCATCAGTGAATGCTTATCAATGGTACAACTTCCTATAGATTTAAATTACACGAAAAGGTGTCATTATTAGTGCTATAGCTTGGATATTTGTCCCCTCCAAGTCTCATGTTGAAATGTGATCCCCAATGTTGGAAATGTCGTCTGGAGGGAGGTGTTTAGGTCATGGGGACAGGTCCCTCATGAATGGCTTGGTGCCCTCCCTGTGACAATGAGTGAGTTCTCACTTTTAGTTTAGAGAGCTGCTTATTGAAGGGCCTGGCACCTCTCTCCCCACTTCCTCTCTCACCATACAATCTCTGCACGGGCTGGCTCCTCCACCATCCACCACGAATGGAAGCTTCCTAAGCCACCATCAGAAGCAGGTACTGGTGCGATGCTCCTAGACAGTCTCAGAACCATGAGCCAAATGCATCTCTTTTCTTTATAAATTACCCAGCCTCATGTATTCCTTTATAGCAACACAAAAACAATTATTAATATAAGTAAAAATTAAGTCCACATGTAAGAGAATGTTATCCAATGTTTTCATTATCTGTAGAGATAACCGCTTTATATAAGCTCTTTTAGAGTCATTTTCATGACCACATGTCAATCAAGTATTCAGTACAACAACTTAGTCAACTGCAACAAGTAAACCTTGGATTGGATGACTTAAAACTACAGATAAAAGATATTTGAAACAGAAAAAAAACAGATCATATGATAGGTGATATTATTGAATTAATGCTAATTTTCTTCAGGATGATAATGATGTCCTAGTCAGCTAGAATAGTCCTCCTTTCTCTTAGGCAGTGAATACATGCTCAAATTTTGGGGGGAAAAGCTTTATGATGTCTGTAACTTATTTTTAAAGTATTAATTATTAAAAAGCATATACAGAGAGATACAGCAAATATGGGAAAATGTTAACTGATCAGTGTGAGTATTCTTTGTACTAATTTTTCAACTTCTCTGCATTTTTCAAAATAAATGTTTGGGGGAAATGATAAAAACACAAGCAAAAAAATAAAATCTTTTGAAATTTAAGTGTCGGCATTGCTTTTAACCCCTCTCCCCCCCTCAAACCCGCAGAATAGTACCTTCTGTTGCCCTGTTCATGCCATAAAACCACTGCATTTCAATCAGGTTTGTATGTTAAAGTTGAAAGGCACAGTTATCCTTCAATAAGCACTCCGCAATTTCCTCTCTTAGTTTGCCAGGGTATTCATTTTTATTTGCTTCAATAATATCATATTCTACTTTAGACGCTTATGCAAATAAAAATGTGCTTCTCAACTGCTGCACATGATACCCTGAGATGGGCCATCAGAGATTTTCATCTGGGAAAACTTGAGGTGATAAGGAAGCCACATAGGTTGGCAATCATTATCTTGCTTTAATCCTTTAAGAATTGCAGGCTGGGCACAGTGACTCATGCCTGTAATCCTAGCACTCTGGGAGGCCGAGGCAGGCGGATTGCTCGACGTCCGAAGTTCGAAACCAGCCTGAGCAAGAGCGAGACCCTGTCTACTATAAATAGAAAGAAATTAATTGGCCAACTAATATATATATAGAAAAAATTAGCCAGGCATGGTGGCATATGCCTATAGCCCCAGCTACTCAGGAGGCTGAGGCAGCAGGATTGCTTGAGCCCAGGAGTCTGAGGTTGCTGTGAGCTAGGCTGATGCCAGGGCACTCACTCTAGCCTGGGCAACAAAGCGAGACTGTCTCAAAAAAAAAAAAAAAGAAGAATTGCAAAGTCCATGGCAAGAGCTAATTATTTTTTTATTGCTGTGAAGGTGACACTGGGGCCCAAGAAACAATACCCCAAAATCAAGGCTTCAGAAGCAAAGTTTCTCTCTGACCTTCTCCTGCCAGCCTGTCTCTCACCCCTCATTCTCCCCAACCAAGCCACAGAAACTGGAATCTCTTTTCTCCAAGGCAGGTCATAGAAACCAGAACCCTTTTTCCTCACAGCCAGCCATAATCAGGGGTCCTCAAACTTTTTAAACAGGGGGCCAGTTCACTATCCCTCAGACTGTGGGAGGGCTGTTGAAGAGTGCGGCGCACATTCCACACTTGCACACTGTGAGCCCGGGACAGAGTTGGCTGCTAAGCAGGACAGGCAGCAGGGGCAAAAACACCTGGCAAGTCCTCGGCAGGCCACATGTGGCCTGCGTGCCTTAGTTTGAGGATGCCTGCATAAGACCTAAAAATATTATTCTTACCCTTCCCCACCTTTCTGTTTAACAGCTGGCCATAAAGAAATCAAGATCCTCATTCTAGAGGGGTTCTTACCCCATCCCTGGTAGGAAGAAATGCTGCACGGAAAAGCCAAGAAGAATCTGAACGGACAGGCCTTGCTGGGTTTCCCCATTCAGTCTACTAGCATTAGATCATACCTTTTTTGTCCAATTGTATTTCTACATGGCTGTCCCTATCTCATTGAATCTAAGCATAAAAAATAGTTTTCCCTATATCTTTTTTGGTCTTCATTCTGAATGTTGTCATGTCACATAAAACTATGGTCAAACAAATTTGTTCTGCTTTTCTCTTGTTAACCTTTTGTTATAGGGATATCGGCTGTGACCCTTATGATGGGGAAGAAAGGGATCACCCCCCTCTCTCCTACAATGACAAGAATTTAGTCCTTCTCTTATGTTTCTATTATATGCATATGAAAAAAAAATGAACTTAGGTGTATACCTAAGAAAACTGAAAATATATGGCCACACAAAAATTAGTACATGGCTTTTTATAGCAGCATTAATCATAATAGCCAAACAGAAATAACTCAAATGTCCATCAACTTACCAAAGAATAAATGAAAGTGGTATATCCATACAATACAGCGGTATTTTGTCAGAAAAAAGGAATCAAATACTGATAACACGGTAAAACATAAATTCTTGAAAACATTATGCTCAGTGAAAGGAGCCAGACACAAAGACTATATCCTGTATGATTCCATTTATATGCAATGTCCAGAATAGACAAATCCACAGAGACAAATTATATTAGTACTTCCCCAGGGCTGGGAATAAGGGAATGACTGCTAATGGGAAGTTATTTTGGAGGTGATGAAAATGTTCCGGAATTAGGTGGTGGAGATAGTTGCACAACTTGGGAATATATTAAAAACCACTGAATTGTGCAATTTAAGTGAGTACTATAGTATGTGAATTATATTTCCATTTTTAAAATAATTTAATGAAAAGCAACTTTCCACTGATTCCATTTTTAAGGACAGTGGAGGGAGCCCTGGGGCATGTTGGGTATGACTGCATCTTCAGCCTTTTCCAGTCACCATTGGCCAGAGTGAAGAGTGGCCCCAGACTCTGCAGGGTGCTGGCAAAGCTCCCCATCCCCTCCTCCCAGTCCTCACAGGAGCACTACAGTTTGCCTTGGCTTCTTTAGAGCTGATCTCAGTCTGCCCTACATTACGATTCACCAACAGAATTCTAGCATTTCCTCACGCAAGTCTCTAACCCAGTACCCAACCTCATTTTCCTCATTGTACTTACCATCTTTTATTCACATCCCTCCAAAGTTTTGGTTTGTTCATTGCTTTACTGCAAACAGTAAGATGCTCAATAAATTCTCGTGAATGAACAAACTTGGGAAAAAAGCTTACACAGAAATTTGCACTGGACATTATTTAAAAGATCAAGTTTCATACTTCAAATGTGTTTTTTCCCATAAGATTTTCTCCTCCATCTAAATATACAGCCAATCTTTGAGAAATCTTCCACAAACGGTATTTTATTTTAAGAGAAACATTTGGGTATTATAAACATCAAAATTTCAATATGCAAGATTCAAATTTACAACAGGAAAATAAACATAGAAACTTGTTTTTGCACTATGTGGTTATTGCTGCATCACCTTTAATTCCTTATCCAGAGTCCAAAATATGTAGGCAAACCCTAAAAATGTAGCAGAAGCATTTCCGCACACTGGTATCCATAATCTAGTTTGTGCAGAAATGTTTCCACTAGATTTATAGAGTACTCTTTGGAAGAAAAGAAGTGAGGACTGGTCATTTGGTTGCTCTTCGGACCTGCTGCAACTCTTCAATTGGCTTCCATTGTTGGTTAATTGTTATAAGCTTTAAAAAGAAAGAAATAAAAATGTTTTGTTAAAGATTTGCCCTTCATCTTCATGTCCCCTTTTTGGGATTTGTCCACCCCCCCTGTAGAAAAAGCACCACCATGGTATTTGTAGAACTACCTCTTTCCACCTCTACAACCTGCACAAAACAGTAATGTGGGCTGGTTTCTACCACTCCACCCCCTAAAAAGCCCTTGGGTTCCTAAGTGTTAAGGATCAGAAAGAAAGGTCAAACACATGTGCCTTACTTGCACTTAGCAGTATACAGATTTTTTAATTTGCCAAGGTATTATGTGAGTCTTAAGTTCAAAGAGTGTGTCTGCTTCCATGAGTGTATGTGCAATGCTCCTAGCTCACAGTAGGCTCTTAAAATTTCCTCATTGTAATTACTCAGTGAAGGTACAATCTAAGTTACACAATAAGGGTAAGGCATTAAATCTATTTTGCTGACAAGATTGCTAAGGTTTGGGCAAAATGTAAGTCACTTGTTTTTAACTTAATACCTTTTGAGGTACGGTAGGATCCACATTGTCCCAAGGTTCTGGATTTCCTTTTCGATCAATGCTAAAATTAAAAGAAGGCTAATTAAACATCAAAATGAGTGAATTTAAACCAACATTGATACTGGGTCTATAAACATGCAGGGGACAAACCCAATCTCCATGCTGAGGTATTCTCTCTGTTAGCTAACTATCAGGAACCATCAGTGTAACTAAAATTAATGGAAAAATTCCCTAAGGGAGTTTCATGGGTTTGGCTGAAACATTAAGGCTCACTTCTTCTGCAGGCTAAGAGGTCTGTATTCTCTTTTGGGGCTAGATTGGAGAACAATCCCACAAACCCAATAACAATGGAGGTGGAAGTGCCAGGCTAAGGACAAACAATAATGTTCTTCCTGGTTCCTGGGGAGGGAGAGGCTGGGCTTGAACTCTGCAGGTTGTGAACTTCAGGGCATGAGCCTCTCTGCCAGTGAGTGGGTAGAGTTACCTCTGCCCTCTCCCGGCTCCAGCCCCACCTAGATCAGTTTCAAGTTTATTTTCCCCATATTCCAGAATACATGGGGAGGGAGGGGTGCCTTCATCTATCCAAAACTGAGATCACGTTCATTGTTGACGACTGAATCTATCAATTCTACCACATTAGTACAGATTTCAACCTTCTGATAAGTTGAAATTTAAAATTTTAATTAAAATGATTACTTAAGTTTGATGACACATGACCCCCAAAAACCCATACAAGAACTTTAAATTTCCAAAACTTAAATTAAAAAAAAAAAAAAATTCAAACTTTGCTTCACTGTAGGAAGAGTGGAAGAGGGCCAACAGAGTGGATAAAAGAATATTTAAACACAAGGAATAAACTGATGTTATTAATATCGTCATTTCATAGTCTTCGGATATCAAGATACTTTTCAGCCCTGACTCCAAGTTCACAACTTGACGTGATTGTTCATGGGGGAAAAGAACCAGGAAACTGATACCACGCATTTCATCAACTAAAGGCCAACCCAACACCGCCAAAGACGGTTTTTGTAGACTGAGGCCTACTCACATCACGCCGGGTTTCCGCAGGGAATACACGGCGAAAGACGAGGCTCCGCCCGCCGCAGCCGTGATGAACACCACCAAAGGGATGAGCTAACAGATACAGGTTGAAGGGAAACGTTCAGATGTGTCAACAGAAAACACGAGAAATATAACAAAACAGCGACATGCCACTTCACACTTTCCTTCAAAATCTGCGCCATCTTCACACCCTGAAAAACTCACACTTTTTTGGCCAAGCTTTCACTTGCTTTAAAAACTTACTTCCTTCTTTTTCATCAGGAGTTGGAAAAAGCCCATGATGAACTTCGGTGTAGAAGGCTGAATCTAGAAATGGAAAAAAAAAAAAAAAAAATCCGAGATACTGAGTAAACCTTCGGCACCAGGACCCCAGCCCGGTGGGTGCCAGGCGAGGGCCGGCTCACAGCGCCCCCGCGGAAGGGAGGCGCACCTGCGGGAGGGCGGCGCGCGGGAGATGCCAACGCTCAGAACCCGGCCGGCCCGCGGCCTCCGCGCCTTATATACCGAGCGCGGCCGCTCGGGAAGGGCCGGGCGCGGGGGGCGGGGAGCGCGCGGACCTGACTCGCTTTCCCCGCTCGGCGCCCGGCTCCCGAGCGCCCCCTGCAGGACGCCGTGCGGAAGACACGGCGCAGTGGGACGCGGATGCGGGCGCCACCTGCCGGTCCATCGCTGCCGCCCGGGTTGCGAGGGTCTGGGCGTTTGGGGTGTGGGAGGTGAAACCTGAGAGCAAGGAGAGCGCTGAAGGCCAAGGTCTGGGTGAAAGCCGACCCTTCTAAAGGGGGGAGTTGCAGAGCCGGCGGGGGTCCCAGGGTTGGCTTCCACCCTGGGTTCCAGGGGAGCCTCCCAGGTGCAGGCAGGTAAATTGGAATGAATCCAATCACATTAAAAAGCTCCAAAAATGTGATGCAGCGCACAAACGGAGATCATTAAATTGTAAAGTTCATTTCACAATAATTCCAATGGTGTCCTGATTTTTTTCCACTAAAAAACAAAACAAACAAACAAAAAAAAAAAACTGGCGGTTGAGGGAGAAGAAACGAAAGAATCAGTTGGAAAGGTTTCCAAGAGAAGGTCTAGCCTTGCAGAGTTTGCTGGCGGCTGCAAAGCCGGGGAAGAACCATACCAACTTCATCCAGCCAGGGGCTGTGTGCCAGACACGGAGCCGGGTTCCTCTGGGCGTTTTTGCAAGATGGGTATGTTATTATTAAGATTCAGAGAGGCTGGCGTCACACAGCTGGTAAGTGTCATCAGAAAGCCGGTGTGTCTGGCGCCCAACACCACCGCTCTCTCTGCACCCTCTCTTAGCTACTGCAATTAGGTCAAGGGTTCATTTATTTTAAAACAGTTTTAGGTTCAAGCTGTAAGTTAAAAACGCACACATCTTAACGTTCCCTGAGAATTGCCAGACCCAGCTCTATTTCAACCCCGTTTTAGTTCTAGACATTGGTTTTGCAGTCAAACGGACTTGAGTTCAGAGCCCACACTTGCCACGCTTGTTAGCTGACTTTGAGTAAACTACTTGACCTTTATGAGAATCAGTTTATATATCTGCAGCATGGGGACAATTTAGCTGGGGAGGGAGGTGGAAAAATATTAGAAAGTGTGAAAAGCATGTGGCATAGGGTAGACACTTAACAGTAATTATTTGCAAAGATTTGTCTTATATAAATAAGGCAGATCATAAATGTAGTTTACCACCCATTTATTCTAATAACAGTATTCTAATAACTCAAGAGCTGTAACCTGAGACATTTATTGATTGGTTAGATCCACATCAGATACTTCAAAGAAAATTCAATATTGATTCTCCTTGTATTATATAGAATCAGAGAAGCCTTGTGAAGCTCCTTGTGCAAGATTTCTAAGGCTACTTTTGTCAGAAAATTCTTTTTTAAAAAAGCCTCATGTTGTTAACAATTAAAGAGAAGTTTTTCATTGAAGGAAGAAAAGAAGGGAGAAAGATAGAAGGGGAAGGAGGAATTTTACAGTAATGTTTAAGGACCCCCAAATTAAAATTAAAATGTGTAGCCCTTGCCTGCTAAAGACCTTACACTCAGAGCCCTGCTTTTCCAGTGTCATTTTTTTTTTCAAAATGCAATGCTGTTTTGTAGCAGTCTAGGCATTATTCTGAGGATGGGGGCACAAAGGGATTAAAAAGATTAATAAGACCCAAGTCCTTTACTTCAAGGTGCCTACAATTTAGTGCCCATAAATAATCTAGCACAAGGCATGATTTGGTGCTATACTCAGCTGATTAATTGTGAGGGGGTCTGGGAAAACTTACCAAAGGTGGGGGTGTTTATTTGAACATACAAATAGACAAACCACTCTAAAAAGATATTTTGGTGGCAATTAGGAAACTTAAATAGAATCCAGACATGAGATAATATTAAAGGGATATTGTTAAGTTTGGTAGGTATGATGGTATTATGGTTATATAGTAAAATTACCCCCTCCCTTTTTAGAGCTTGTATATAGAAATATTTAGGGGAGAAATATCATGAGATTTACTTTTTTTTTTTTTTTTTTAGACAGAGTCTCACTTTTGTTGCCCTGGCTAGAGTGAGTGCCGTGGCGTCAGCCTAGCTCATAGCAACCTCAAACTCCTCCTGGGCTCAAGTGATGCTCCTGCCTCAGCCTCCCAAGTAGCTGGGACTACAGGCATGCACCACCATGCCCGGCTAATTTTTTGTGTATATATTTTTAGTTGGTCAATTAATTTCTTTCTATTTTTAGTAGAGATGGAGTCTCGCTCAGGCTGGTTTCAAACTCCCGACTTCCAGCAATCCACCTGCCTCGGCCCCCCAGAGTGCTAGGATTACAGGCGTGAGCCACCGCACCCAGCGAGATTTACTTTTAAAATATAACTAAAAACAAATTAAGCAAATTTAGTCAAATATTAATAATTATCCAATGTAAGCGATAGGTATGTGGAGGTTTGTTATTCTATTTGTATGTATGTTTGGAAATGTTTTTAAAAGTTTTTTTCATTCACAAATTGTAGGTAGTTACAGATATAACATGCCCATATAACCTTTAAAATCTGCTTATTCCTATTTGCAGCAATGAGAATTAAACCCAGAAAGCTATACTTTCCCCTTTTTTTTGATAATGCCCAGGTGTATTGAGTTTTGGGATATCAAGATCAATTTGTAGTTCGGTCTTTTCTTAGATTCAAGGAGTTACCACCCTGCATTTTGGGTGGCCTGTTTACATTTAATCGCACATACATATTAAGGCAAATGCAGCAAATGTGAATTTTAAATTATCTACTCAATAAATATTGTTGCAAAAACAGGCACAGTTGACCCTTGAACAACTTGGGCGGTAGAAGCACAGACCATCCCCACCTCCCGCCCCCCACCCCTCTGCTTCCACCTCAGCAGTCAAAAATCCACATATAACTTTTAACTCCCCCAAAATTTAACTACTAATAGTTGACAGGAAGCCTTATGGACAACAAAACCAGTTAATTAATACATATTTTTTGTGTCATATGTATTATATACACACAATATTGTACTTTAAAAGTAAATCTCACAATAAAGTAAGCTAGAAAAAAGAAAATATTATTAAGAAAATAAGAAAGAGAAAATATATTTGCTATTTATTAAGTGGAAGTGGATCATCACAAAGGTCTTATCTTTGTTGTCTTGATGTTGAGGAGGCTGAGGAGAGGGAGGAGGAGGAAGAGGAGGGATTGGATTGCTGCGTCAGGGTTGACAGAGGTGGGAGAAAATTCACATGTAAGTGGAGCTCGAAGTTCAAACCTGTGTCGTTCAAGGGTTAACTGTATATGACTAAAGAACCTTCAGTTTTGCCATTTTTGTCTGAAGTTGCTGAAGGCTAGACTACCCAGAAAAGAATTTTCCATCATCCAGTTCTTAAGCCATAAAAGTGCTTCCTACTCCAAAATGTAACAGAATTCATAGCCTCACTACAGGTAACTGGAGGGTAGGGATGAAATCAGAGTCCTCCTTGCAACCAAGTCCTGCGTGCTGGCCAGGGCACCCAGAAGCCATGGCCAGGCCAGTGCAACCTGGATGAGAAGCAGGCACTGCTCCCACCCCAAAAACTCTGAAGCCCCAAAGGATCCCACCCAGGACACTCACCAGCGTTACTCTCTGTGGCTGCTTCAATGCCCATAATCCCTTGGAGGAGCTTCTCCTACCACCCTCAATTGCCAGAAACTTCTAGAACCTTCTCTAACTACTGCCACCCAGGCTTGCAGGGGCATAGAGACATGGCTGATTGGCTCCTGCCTCAGAAATTTAAACTTACATTTTAATCAGCCCAGCTATTTTCTTTATAAGAAAAATAGAATATTTTATTATTAAATATTTTTGTTGAAATTCTTTCTGCCCAACCTTGTTAGTGGACTTTAATCCTGACACCCCATCCTTCAGTGGCTACCTTGTTACCAGGTTTATAATACTGGAATTGCTAAATTTGGGGGTTTCTAGGAATGTTCTATATTGTTTAAGGTTCACTGTTAATGTGGCCCAGAAGGCAGTGTGAGCTCAGTATATAGGAAAACTGTTCACACTTCCCACTATACCGGGGGAAAGATGTTTAAAAGTTGTAATGTTTTAATTTTCTCACAGATCAAGAATGCAGTTTTTATTTTGTTTTTATTTATTTATTTTTGAGACAGAGTCTCACTCTGTTGCCCAAACTAGAGTGAGTGCCGTGGTGTCAGCCTAGCTCACAGCAACCTCAAACTCCTAGGCTCAAGCAATCCTCCTGCCTCAGCCTCCCGAGTAGCTGGGACTACAGGCATGCGCCATCATGCCCGGCTAATTTTTTCTCTATATATTAGTTGGCCAATTAATTTCTTTCTATTTATAGTAGAGACAGGGTCTTGCTCAGGCTGGTTTTGAACTCCTGACCTTGAGCAATCCATCCACCTCAGCCTCCCAGAGAGCTAGGATTACAGGCGGGAGCCACCGCGCCCGGCCAAAAATATAGTTTTTATAAATTGCCCAGAGCCACCCTCAAATCAGATTAAAACTGAATCAAAGAAATTATTTATTTTTTAAATTTGCCAGCAAATGAGGACAAAGAAATTCTTGATCTGACTTTGCCATTTATTGAGCATTTCATTGAGAAGAGACACATGGTCTTCTCACGAGGCTTCCCAAGTTCTGTTGGGAAGTTATAATCATCCCTCAGTATCTTGGGAGATTGATTCAGGGACAAAGTCCACAGATGCCCAAGTTCCTAATACAAAATGGTGGGCATAGTATTTGCAGATAACCTACATAATATCCTCTCACATACTTTAAATCATCTCTAGATGACTTGTAATACCTAATACAATGTAAACACCATGTAAATAGTTGTTGTATTGTTTTTAATTTATTTGTTTATTCAAATATTTTCAACCCAGGGTTGTCTGAATCTGCCAATGTGGAACCCACAGATATGGAATGCCAACCATAATTACAATTTAAAAAGACATTTGCAAATCAACACAGCCTGAACAAAAGAGTGGTTGCTAAGTTTCCAGCCTGACCAATAGAAATTTCTTCAAGGAAAGATCAGGGGCCCACAGCTAGATGTCAGAGTTAAGGGGTTCAGGTCAGGGTTTATCAGGTCTAGGATTGCAAAGGCATGTAAGATTAATAACCAGTAAAGATGAAGTCAGAATTCTAGTAAGTTTTCTAGGTATTTTCCTATTACTCAAAATCAAGGGTCAGTTTGTTAGAATAACTGTAATGGAATTACATTATATACCCATAAATTAGACAGGTCTTTCCCTTAATTATTCCCAATAGCCCTGGCTCCAGTCAGAAATAGGAAACTTTCTAACAATTGCTTAACATTTGACTTCGTATATTTCATGCACTACACTCTTATCATACCCTACACTTCTTCTGAAGTATTTCTCACCACTCTCATTAATTCACTGACAATTTGTCTGCCGTGTTCCCAGCTGGCCTGTCAGTGCCACATCAGTCTCATTCAGCGGACGTCCCAGCATGGCACTTAGTGAGTGAACAATGGCACTGTATTTACCAGATATTGTTAGGTGAGAAAAACGAGGACACAACACCACTATGTAGTGTTCTACTGGTGATATATTACCTGAATCTGTCATGACAAAACATCAAACACAAATCCAGGAATGAATTGTTCTGTAAAATAATTGGTCTGTACTGGTGAAAAATGTCAGGGTCAAGAAAGACTGTTTCAAGTTAATAAAAAAGGCTAAAGAGACATGACAACCAAATTTATAGTTTTTCCCATTATTGCATCCTGCAATGGGAAAATTTACTATATAGGACATTATTGGGAAAATGCATGAAATTCACTAGACAGCAAGTTAAATATTGTATTAATGTTAAATTTCTTGAATTGGGTAACTGCACTGTGGTCATGTAAGAAAATAACCTTATTTGTAAGAATACACTAAAGTACTAAAGAGGTAAAGGGGCATGATACATATAATCTACTCTCAAATTATTCAGAAAAATGTGGGGTGTGTATGTGTATATGTGGGCCAAGGGAAGAGAGAGAAAGCAAATGTGACAAAATGTTAAAACTTGGTGACTCTGGCTAAGAGTATATAAGAGTTCTTTGTACTGTTTTTGCAACTTTAAGTATGAAATTTCAAAGTTAAAAAGCAATCAACCAAAAATAGCTACCCTTACAACAAAATCAGCACACACACACACTTTCTTCCTAAGTACTTTTAGCACAGTATTTTAATATATCTTTTAGAAATAAGATAAGCCTTAGCTTATCAGGCAAAAGTTTTTTTATTTACAGGAAATATACACACAAATTCTAAAAGTGTGAAGTTGCAAACTATAAGCAAATTCACATTTCAATTAATATGAAAAACTGAACCATGTGTAAAATCATTTTTAAATATCTTCTAAGTTAGAAAATCCTTTCTTAAATAAGTTTTCATATAAAGTCAAGTCCTTGTGACTTAAAGATGGTTTTACAGTCTTGAGTGATTTTAGAAAGTGCTCTTGTTTCACTGCGGTTGCTTCTAGTCCATTTTCTTGCAGAGCCAGCAAGGCAGCCTATAAGAGATAAGCAATAAGAAACAATTACTTTGCTTCATTTTTTTTTTATATAATATATGGTAATACTTTAAATCTGAATGCAACATCTCAGTCTCACTTCACAGGATTCCAATATTCATGTCACTAAAGACATTAAGTTAAAAAGTTAAATAAGGTGATTGAAAATCCACTTAGTAGACCACAATTTCTTCTATATTACATTCTAGCTTTAAATGGGAAAAAAGCAAAAGCAAGCTGCAGAATATATACATTATGAACACATGTATTTTTAAAGATGAAAGAATATCTTCTTGACCTCAGAGTAGGAAAGTCTTTAGCTGGCTCTGATCCTAAAGGAAAAGATCAAACCACACCCTATGACCCAGCAATTCTCTTTGTAGTTATATACATATAATATACATGAATACACACAAAGACTAACAGACACGTACAAGATTGTTCATAGCAGCATAATTCATAATAGGCAAAAAGTAGAAACACAAATGTTCAAAAATAAAAGAATGGATAAATACAAAATATTCATATACTACAATGTTATAGAGCAATGGAAACAAATAAATTATGGCTATACATAAACCTGTGGATGAATTTCTTCTGCAGTTAAAGAAGCAGGCAGAAAATAATATATACCATATGGTTCCATTTATATAAAGTTTAAAAGCAGGCAAAACTAATATCCAGTGTTGGAAGTCAGGACAGTGGGTCCCTTTTGGAAGGAGGCAGGGTACAGACGTTGGGAATGGGTCCAAAGGAATATTCTGGGGTGTTGATAATGTTCTATTTCTTGATGTGAGTAGTGCTTATGAAAGTGTGAACACTTTATGTTAATTCAAGAAACAGTATCCTTGGCCAGGTATGGTGGCTCATGCCTGTAATCCTAGCACTCTGGGAGGCTGAGGCGGGAGGACTGCTTGAGGTCAGGAGTTTGAGACAAGCCTCAGCAAGAGCGAGACCCCATCTCTATTAAAAATAGGAAAAAAATTAACCAGGTGTGGGTGGCACATGCCTGTAGTTCCAGCTACTCAGGAGGCTGAGGCAGGAGGATTGCCTGAGCCTGGGAGTACTCTAACCCGGGCAACAGAACAAGACTCTGTCTCAAAAAAAAAAAAAAGAAAGAAAAAAGAAACTATCCTTATGATCTGTGTCTTTTTGTGAATGTTGTATTATATTTAGTAAAAGTTTATGGAAATGGAAAAACCTACAATGGCTTCTTTTGCCATAAAAATAAAATGCCTTAAAGTGGCTTACAAGGACCTGTGTGCTATGGACACTATCCACTTCGTTCAGCTGTGTTTCTTGCCATTCTCTACTTTAAGATTTAATAAAGTCACATCATCTCTTACCTCTAATCATTGGCACATTTTATTCCCTCTGCCTCAAACATTCCCCCTTCCCTATCTTAGCTAACTCTCTAATCATACTTCCAATTTCAGTTTATACATCCCCTCTCTCAGAGAGCCTTCTCTGACATGCCAAGTCTGGACTGGGCACAACTCACTACGTACTTCAACTGCCAATTCAGTGCTACGGTTTGCCTCTCTGTACCCCTTCATCCAACTGTAAGCTATAAAGGAAAAGGTCACACATAGATGTTTTTTAGTAAATACTGCTGAATCAAGATTTGAATAGATGAAGTGTTTTGAACAATAGATTTCTTTACTAATCACTTACTTCTTTGCAGAGGTTTCTAAGATCAGCTCCAGAAAAAAAACAGGTTTCTTCTGCTAGGTTTTCTAAGGAGACATCAGTCCCTACTGGCATGGTTTTTGTGCAGACTTTTAAAATAGAAAGCCTTCCCTGGAACAAAATAATAAGTATAATAGACAATAAGTAAAGTATAATAGACATTAAAATTTCTGGGAGGCCGAGGCAGGCAGATTGCTCAAGGTCAGGAGTTTGAAACCAACCTGAGTAGGAGCAAGATCCTGTCCCTACTATAAATAGAAAGAAATTAATTGACCAACTAAAAATATATAGAGAAAAAAATTAGCCGGGCATGGTGGCACATGCCTGTAGTCCCAGCTACTCAGGAGGCTGAGGTAGGAGGATTGCTTGAGCCCAGGAGTTTGAGGTTGCTGTGAGCTAGGCTGACCCCACGGCATTCACTCTAGCCTGGGCAACAAAGTGAGACTCTGTCTCAAAAAAAAAAAAAAATAATAGACATTAAAATTTATTTTTCAGACCCTTCAAAACCTGATAAAAGCTCAAGGAAGGAAAAAAATTCATCCTGTGTCTTTCACCACTCCCTGTCAGTGGCTCGGATGTTGAGGGCAAAGTATTTACTGATTGACTGACTGACTGGATACTTTGCATAATCTCTGTAATCTCAGATTTTTCTACTATAAAATAAGGATGCTGACCCAGATAATCTCCAAAACCCTTTGTAACAATTTAAGATTCCTCCATTCTAGTTGCAAGATAATGTTGAGTAAACTCAAGACACTCAGTATTTTGAGTCTGCCACAACACTAACTACCAAGGCTAGACATGGTGGCTCACACCTGTCATCCTAGCACTTTGGGAGGCTGAGGTGGGAGGATGGATTGGGGCCAGGAGTTCAAAACCAGCCTGAGCAAAAGCAAGACAACATCTCTACAAAAACTAGAAAAATTAGCCATGCATGGTGGCTTATGCCTGTAGTCTCAGCTACTTGGGAGGCTGAGGCAAGAGGATTGCTTGAGCCCAGGAGTTTGAGGTTGCTGTGAGCTGTCATTATGCCACTGTATTCTAGCCTGGGTGACAAAAAAAAAAAAAAGGTAACTAACTTACTTTTAGGCTTCTTTCTCTGAAAACAGAGCCAGAGTATTTAGCAAAAGCAGATCAAAACTATGATTTTATGAAGGACCACTAGGCAGAGAAGAATGTATAACCCAGTATGAGTAGGACACCACGGATATCTATATTCAATTCTGTTGAGCCCCTTAGAGCACAGACGCTGATGCATTGTTAAGAATGCTCACACACAGTAGACGTGTACAATGATTACCTTGTGGTCTGGAGGTGGAATATAGATAATCTTATCTAATCTTCCAGGTCGTAACAAGGCATCATCTAACACGTCAGGTCTATTTGTTGCTGCAACAATCATGACACTTCGACTAAAAACTTCTTGAAACTCTAAGGAAAAACACACAACAAATGATTGTCAATAAGTTGTTAATTATTAATGTTTTTAAAGTTATAAATCAGAAGGTCCATTTATTTTTAAATAGGGATATCCTTTTCTTAGGGCCAGAATGCTTATACCCCCTTTCCAGACCACCTTCTTGATACTAAGGTACCCTAGAAACAAATCGTTAATCAAAGAGCTACTTTGTGTGCATGGTAAAAGGAGTGGCTAATCCTGAGAGACATTTCTTCATGTGAGAACCACTGAAAAGCCTTGCCCACAGCAGAGAATGCCTATCTGGTGACCTGAGAGCACATAAGCCCCCAGCAAATGATTACAACTTAAACGGACTACTGAAAACACAGCCGCATTATGACTAACAGGCAGAGATGTATGGCTATGAATAATATATCCCTAAAGAGGGAAATTTACTTTACTTTTTATTTATTTTTCTTTCCAGAGGCAGAAATAATGACAATTAATCTAAGTTGCAGGTACAACAATCCTGGATAAAGAAATGTCCATAAGCAGATGGCGCAAGGCCTTACACACACTAAGCATTCAAAATCATTTGTTGAATTGAATAATCAGAGTAACTCTCCAGTGACATCATCCCTCACAGTAGTGAGTTCCCTGTATTTGTAAGTATTTTTGCAGAGGCTGGGGGAATACCTGCTAGATACTATATTAGGAATTCCTGCATTATGAGATGACTGACTTAAATAACCTGGTGGGTCCCTTCTAATTCTAGTATGATATGTTCCTAAGGAGCTATAAGATTCTCCTTCCATGTGACAATTGTAAAAATGGGAAACAATTAAGAAAAGAGGAATAAAAGAAAAAAAATTGCCAAGGATACCAAACTCTATCTGGAGAAGAGACTTAGAATGGGAGGAAGAGGACTTCCAAAGGTCATTTTAGCTTCATTAAAACCATGGAAACCCATTCCTAAAGATACTTAAAAGTTTTCAACTATTAAAATTATTCAAAATTATGTTTTGTTTTATAAATAAAACTTTTAGAAAAGCATGAACAGTGGCTCTTCAGGATATAGAAATAAGAATAAACTCCCTTCTCCATTAGCAATAAGTAAAATTTTATTTCTCATTCTCCCCTCACGCTGTTTTTTTTTTTTGAGACAAGGTCTCATTCTGTTGCCTGGTTTAGAGTACAGTGGCATCATCAAAGCTCACTGCAACCTCAAACTCCTGAGCTCAAGTGATCCTCCTAACTCAGCCTCCCAAGTTGCTGGGACTACTGGCACATGCCACCCCACCCAGCTAATTTTCCTATCTTTTGTAGAGATGGGGTCTCACTATGTTGTACAGGCTTATCTTGAACTCCTGGCCTCAAGCAATCCTCCTACCTTGGCCTCCCAAAGTGCTAGGATTACAGGCATGAGCCACCATGCCTGGCCATACTGAGGCAAAATACAATTCACATTCATATATATTTAAGATAATTTATTATAAAATTTATCTCACCTTTCCTAGCCAAATCACAAATTTAACTAGCTTTGTAAAAATACCAACAGAGTCAAATTGAAATTATACAAATCTTTCTGTGACATTAATTCAGGTATAGGAAAAGCTACAGCACACATGCATTCTATTTAATGCTGGCCTGGATTTTTGGAGCATTCTGGCTAATAAATACCTCTTCATTTTTTTCAGCTCCTTGTATTTACCCTGCTGATTTGATTTACTTCCTCTTCTCTCTATTGTCTTAAGTCCAACACCATCTAATTCATTGAGGAGAACAGAAAGAACTCGTTCTTGAACATCACATCCTGTTTTGCTGATTGATCGGGCTCCCAAGATTGAATCAATTTCATCCAGAAACACAATTGCCGGAGTATTTGCTCTTGCTTGTCGAAATACCTTGTTAGGAAAAAAAATATTAAAAAGTTATATGTCATACATCAGTCACGTGAATGTATGTTCTCTGCATTACTGTTTATAACTTAAAATATAAGATTCTAAATGTCTAAGAATTAGAGAATGAATAAATAAAACAAGTAGCCAATGGTATTGTGTAAGAGTTACAAAAATCATTATTTTCAAAGAATATTTATTATGGAATTTCAAAAGTGATAATGTTAAGTTTAAAAAGTAGGATAAAGCTATAGATATATAAAACCTGCCTTCAATTTTGTTTAAAAATAAAAAGGAAAGGAAATTCAACCAAATGTTAATAGTAGGGAGAGGGATTATAGAAGATTTCTTACTTACATTTTCCTGCATTTTCTAAGTTTTCTATATATAAACATGCATAACTTTTATAATCAGAAGAAAAGCTGGTAATATTTTTAAAAATAAGGATTATCCATTAGGCATGAAATAAAAATTCAAAAGTAAACTCAAACACATGAAACAAACAAACAAACCTGAGACAAGACTTTTTCTGAATCTCCAACAAAAGGAGAAAAGAGATCAGCTCCGCTCACTGAAACAAAAGAGCAATGACAGCTTGTGGCCAAGGCCCTCACCAGGGTGGTTTTAGCACATCCAGGCGGCCCATAGAGGAGAATTCCCTTTGGTTGTGTCAGGCCCATCCTAGCAAATTCCCAAGGGTATTTCAGAGGCCACTCAATGCTCTGTAAGTATACAAAAAGAAGAGTCATTTAGTATAACAAAATGTTAAATAATTCAGTAAATTAATTTGTTGATTCAAAAAAAGCTCAGCTACCCATTATGAGCTGGAAATGCAGTCCATTCTCCATACAGCTGCCAGAGATCTTATAACCTAAGTCAACTCACATCCATTCCTGCTTAAAATCCTTCCGTGATTTCCCATTAGAACTAGAATAAGATCCAAATTCCTTATTCACCACAGTTTACAAAGCCTTATATAATCTATTTCCCAAATATCTAGTTTGTTTCTATCTCAGGGCCTTTTCTTGCTGTTCTCTCTGCCTGAACATCCCCCCAAAATTTTTGTGTTGCTATTTCTCATTCAGGTCTCAGCTCAAATGTCATTTCCTTAGAGAGGACTTGGTTAAAGTAGAATATCCTCATCCTAGTCACTATGTTACTGCCCATATTTTGCAACACTTATTAATTCACTATTCTTATTTTTCCATTTTGGGTTTGTCATTCTGATCTGCTACAATGTAACCAAAATTCACCTCTAAATCCCCAACTAGAATGATACCTGCCCTAAGCAGGCACTCAGTAAATGCTGTAAATTAACAACCAGGCCTGAAAAGGGCATTACAAGGAGAAGGAATAGACACAGAGATGCATGAAACTGTTTGACTTAGGGGATGGGAGGGGCTGGCTGCATTCACTGAAGTGTGGAATCCAGTGGGGGGGGGGTGGAGTTGACTAGCTGAGTTTGAGATCCCTGAGGTTATCCAGTAGGCAGGCAGCTAAGTAGTTCTTATGAGCAGAAGAAATGTCTACTCTAGATACATAGATTTTTGAGTCAACAATTTTCAGGGGACAGGTGAAGCCCTTGACATCAAGAAAATCTTGATGACAAAGATTAAGAACACAGTCCTGCAAAAAGAGAACTTCCAGAAGCTTCTTGGAGTGCTAACATTTAAGGGAGGGGAGAAGAGTGCTCAGGAGGAAAACTTAACATCTCAAACCTAAGGAAACTGAGTGTTTCCAAAAGGAAGGGGAAGCTAATTTCTCTCACACATCTTGTGAAGATTAAATGAGATGATGCATAAAAATATTAGTGTATATTGTAAGTGCTCTTATCCATGGACTCAAGGATTCCAGGGTTCACTGGAAACATAGCTCCTGGTTAAGATGAACACATTATAATTGACACTTATGAAACCTAGTTCCTTAGGGCAGGATCACAGGTAGGTGAACTGGCAAAATCAATTTCTGAACCCGCAATGGAGGTTAAGAGGATTTGGAGAGTACTCCCCACAACTTCCATGGTGAAAACCAGTACTAAGTAACCACACAGGCCACAGTGATTGTTCACTGCAACTTTGTGCTTTTACCAGTCCCTGTATTGTATCCACTTACTGTCTTCTAGATCAGAGGTCTGGGGCAAACCAAGACCTGCCACCTGTATTTCTACAGCCCACAAAATAAGGACAGTTTTCACACTTTTAAATGCTTAAAAAAAAGGTCGAAAGAATAATATTTTCTGACATGCGAAAATGGTATGATTTCAGTGCCCCAAATAAAATTTTATTAGAATACAATTACTCATTTACATACTCTCTACAACTGCTTTTGTACTAGAATGACAGAGATGAGTGGCTGTAACAGAGGCTGCATGGCCCACAAGGCTTCCAACATTTACTATTTGACCCTCTACAAAAAATCTGCTGACCTCTGTCCTAAATTATAAAATCTTTAAAACAAAAAACAGAGAAAAAAGAAGGTTGAGGTGGGAAAGTATGAAAAAGTTTTGATATCTACAGAAGTCCAGTTAAATAAGGACTGAAAAGTGGTCACTGGATTTAGATCTTAGAATTGCTAATGACAGCAGCAAGAGAAGTTTCAGCGCGGTATGTTTTCATCATAAATACACAGACTATTTTTTTTTTTTTTTGAGACAGAGTCTCGCTTTGTTGCCCAGGCTAGAGTGGGTGCCATGGCGTCAGCCTAGCTCACAGCAACCTCAAACTCCTGGCTCAAGCAATCCTCCTGCCTCAGCCTCCCAAGTAGCTGGGACTACAGGCATTCGCCACCATGCCCGGCTAATTTTTTGTATATATATTAGTTGGCCAATTAATTTCTTTCTATTTATAGTAGAGACGGGGTCTCGCTCTTGCTCAGGCTGGTTTCAAACTCCTGACCTCGAGCAATCCGCCCGCCTTGGCCTCGCAGAGAGCTAGGATTACAGGCGTGAGCCACCGCGCCCGGCCAATACACAGACTATTTATCTGTAACATTCCACTAGCTTAAGCAGATTATCTGGTTTACCTGTTTTAACTTCAGTTTTACATCTTCAAGACCACCAATCTGCTCCCAGCCAACAGGCTTGATGTCCATCAGTCCAATGACGCTTCGAAATGATGAGGGTTGAATCTTTTTAAAAGATTCAAGGAAGTCTGTTTCATCAATCATCGGATTGTCCTGATTCTGAAGAAATACACCCAAAAGACGAAAATCAAACAAAAAGTCAGGTGGGCCTTCTTTGTGGCACCTAAGCATAATTGCTTTTTTAAAAACAAGAAGGTACCTCATTCAACAAAATCCTCTTCTGAATTTGTAAATATTTTATCATTATAAAAGAAATTTATTCACAGTACAAAAAATGAAACATCTTCCTGCCAACTCCTATCAGTATTCATCCCCAGTAGACATCAACAGTTTCTTATATATTCTTCCAATGCTTTATGGCAATAAACATATGTATATCTTTTTAAACAGATATACAAATGGGACCATACTATACATATCAATCTGCACTTTTCTTTTTTCACTTATGTTAGAAATCTTTTCATGTCAACTAATATAGCTCTATGTCACCCTTTTTGATAACTGCATTGAAAAATGTACCATAACTACATCTTTCTAACAAACATTAGGTCACTCCCAGTCTTTTGTCATTAAAAACAATGCTGCAACTGAAAGTCCTTGTGCTCATGTTCAGCTATTTTATACAATAATTTCTTCAAAGTAGAATTATTGGGTTTAAGAATATGCACATGTACAATTTTGACAGCTATTACCAAACTGTCCTGCATCAACTTACTCTCATCCAATAATATGAAACTCCTGTTCCTCCCATACCTCTTCACTACTGGATATTACCAGTAGTGGTAATAATTTAAGAAACTCTTAAATTTCTGACAATATGACAAGAAGAAATGGTACTGACTATTGTGTTAATTTCTTCAATTCAGAGTAAGATAGAGAGAATGATGGAATTAGAAAACCACTTTTGCAACCATCAAAGTAGAGGATATTTTGGGTAAGAACTGCATGCTACATATACACAGATAAGTGAAAGTTTGATGAGGACCAGGATATCTCAAAATATCTCCAGACAGATTTGTTATTAGTAGCAAAGGGAAAAACAGTAGCTACATAATGGAGAAACTGGACATTGCCCTGACAGGTTGATCAAAATTAGCATCACCAGTGGGGAGCTAATGGACGTCTTGCGCCTCCACATACAACAGTCTTACGGATACAATGTTGCTTTTGTAGTATTCCCAGTGGGGATGCATACCCTGAACCTGACTTGCATTCAGCTATGACAATGTCAAATGTCTCAGACAAGAAAAATGTTCAAGATTTAAAAAGACTAAAAACTAAATGCAATCCATTATCCTGGATTAGATTCTGTACTAGAGGAAAAAAATGCTAAAAACATTGGGACAATTACCAAAATGAGAATATGAACTGGAGATTTGAGAGATTTGAGAACATTTTGTATCAACATTAAATTTCCTGAATATAATGACTAAATATGACCATACTGTGGTTACATATGGGAACATCCTTGTTCTTAGCAAATAGACATTAAAATGTTAAGAAATAAAGGATCATGATATATGTAACCCATTTTTAAATGGTCCCCATAAATAATATGTGCATATATCCACAGGGGGTAGGAGTGGGGGAGAGGGAGAAAAGAACAGAAAGAGGCAGAGAGACAAAATGATAAAACTAATTTGGCAAAATGTTAAAAATTAGTGATTTTGTATAAAGGGATTAGTGGAAGTTCTCTGTAACTATCTTGCAATTTCTCTATAAGTTTAAAATTATTTCAAAATAAAAAAAAATTCACAGGCCGGGTGCTGTGGCTCACACCTGTAATCCCAGCACTCTGGGAGGCTGGGGAGGGAGGATCGCTCAAGGTCAGGAGTTTGGGACCAGCCTGAGCAAGAGCGAGACCCCGTCTCTACTAAAAATAGAAAGAAATTAATTGCCCAACTAAAAATATATAGAAAAAATTAGCCAGGCATGGTGGTGCATGCCTGTAGTCCCAGCTACTTGGGAGGCTGGGGCAGAAGGATTACTTGAGCCCAGGAGTTTGAGGTTGCTGTGAGCTAGGCTGACGCCACAGCACTCTAGCCCAGGCAATAGAGTGAGACTCCATCTCAAAAATAAATAAATAAATAAATTCACAAAAGAAAAAATAAAGAGTGAATATATACTTTTAAAAAGTTATACTTTACTATTACTCAAATAAATGCAATTTAAAGCAATTAGAGAAAATTTTTCAAAATACAAAGTTTAAAAAAACCTCAAAAGACAATAATTTTTTTTCTATCTCAAGGAAACTGGGCTAAAAGTATTTTTCCTAGTCTTGACTTTACTTACAGCATTGTTTTGCCATCCCCAAATTGTGAAATTAGCAAATAATTTTCATTTTGGCTATTTGGTTTTCTGTTATGCCTAGAAAAGTCATCTTCATTCTAAGATTACATTTTGGAGACTACTTGCAATTTCCTTGATTATTCTAGTGAAGCAAATTTTTTGTTAAAAAGTCCTTACATTTCTATTTGTAATATCTGTATTATATTTATTAAAGTATTTGCCCTCTTACAAAATTCTAAACATTTAGTTCAGAATTTTCTGAATTTTAGTCCACAAATTCTCATTTTCAATAAACTATTTCATCCCACTTATGTAAAATTGTGTAAGTGGATATATATGTACAGAACTATTCTGAACAGCATTCCCTCAAATGTTAACAACTATAATCTCTGGGAGGTGAGGTTTTAGGCAATTCTTTCTTTCTTTATCGTTTTCTATCTTGTTTAATTTCTCACAAAGAACACTATTATATAATTTTTAAAAATAGCTTTCTTAGATAACACCAACTAATATTCAAAAATCCCATTTATAGTTCAAGATCATTTGTGTGTACATTATTTCACTTGATTCTCCATAACTCTTTCAGACATATAAATTCTTTTTCCCTGCACATGTGTTATATGTGTGTTAAACATTTCTAATTCTTCAATAGGAATACGTCACAAAAAGTTTAACAAACTTTAATGTTTTATGTCTGCCCTGGCATAGATGGAGGCAGCAGCAGCCCCTCAGCTGCCTGGTGAGGGAAAGTAAAAAAAGATGGAGTCAGTACCTTCCCAGATGTCTCTGTCCCTTCTTCCTTCCACTTCCCCTGGGTTGTTTCTGAACTCAGCCATCACCTGTGGTAACTACACCTGGGCAGGCCCCTCCTGAAGTAGTAGTGGGCTCCACCCTAGGATGACAGCAGCTGACTGGTCCACCTAAGCCAGACCTGGAACTTCAAAGCAGAGGAAATCCTAAATGTACATCTCTCTTCTCATCCCCTGGCACTCTCATCCTCTCCCTCAAGACATATATTCTCAAACCTTTACACATGGGACTTAAAAAACTTCAAGCAGTTTTTGGTTCTAAACATACACTATGAGGACTTAGATCACATAACTCCTCCCCACCTTCAGTGTAAGAGTAACAGTAAAGGAAAAGGAAATGAGGAGGGTATAAATTATTTAAGAACAAAGGTTTTTTAAAATTTAGAATGACAAATCACCCTTCTGTAGTTCAAACAATTTTGATGTCACAACCAGATTGAAAATTTTGTCCCAGAATCCTCAAACTGCTGAAATTAATTTTTTTCTAAAAGGGTTTAGAGATTTAGGATTATTTATTATATATACAAAATGACTGGATTCCCCAATCAATGGTGCTGAAAAGTATTATATTTAAGCTAATATCTTAAATATTGTTAAGAAAGGTAGTCATGAATCATAGACCTCAATATCAAAGACAAATTTAAATAAAATTCCAGGTGCCCAATCTTCTTGGTTATAAAAGTTTATTTCTCCCACAAGATGCTTATTATTAACACAGGGAAAAATTATATCTTGATGATGGAGAACTCTGACACCACCTATCCCAAGACATGAAAGTTAACTTCAGCAGTGATAGAACAAAGAGATATCAAGGGCTACCTTCACAGATGCCATGAAAAAAACACAGGACCATTTCTGTGATATTCTTGCCAAAAATGCAAAACCTGAATTGAATTATGAGGAAACATCAGTCAAACCTAAACTGAGGAATATTCTACAGAATAACTAACCTATACTCTTAAAATAAAAGGATGGTTCTAGATTAAGGTCTATTTAGGTTAGGTGAAAGTATTGTGTTGGTGTTAATTTCCTCAGCTTAACCACTGTACTATGGTTAAAGTCCTTCTTTTTAGAAACTATACACTTAACTTTCCAAGGGTAAAGGGGTATTGTGGCTGCAGTATATTCTCCAGTATTTCATAAAATATTTGTATATACATAAATACATACACATGAATACAGAATGATAAAGCACACATGGCAAAATGTTACATTTGGAGAATCTGGGTAAAGGGTATATAAAAATTCAAAAAATTCAAAGTTAAAAAAAAAAGTGTTTGATTCTTCTGGGGCCACAGTGTCTTTCTTGGCTGCTCTGGGCTTCAGCACTAGAGAGTTACTATGAGAGTGATGGAAAATTCTCTCAGTAGACCTGAAGGACACATCTTTTTATCCCCACCTTCAACCATATATTTTATTGAGATGTAAAATGTTAACAGCTGTGGAAGCTATCAAATGTTTCAAGAAAATGTACTTACCACTTTTTAGCCCCAAAATTAATGTGACATTAATGAAAAGATTAACATAAATGTTCATAAATACTTACCTTCTCACTATGAAGGAGTGAGTGCATGGCAGCCTCCCTACAGAGTGCCGTCAGGTCAGCGCCAACATAGCCAACTGTCATTTCTGCAAGATGGCCCAAATCAACACCACTGGAGATGGGCATCTTTGAGGTAATGACTTGCAGAATTGCCTTTCTTTGTTTAAGTGTGGGAGTTCCAATGACCACCTATATACAAAGCCAAGAAAAATTTATAGTTTAAAAATAAAATTTCTATGTCCATTTAACAAGTTTTTATTTTTAAGAACTTACTAAGTTCTTAAAGCCAGGGATAGAATTGTAAACCATGGAGTCTAGGTCCCTGCCCTTAAGGAGCTTATTCAGGAGACTAGATGGTGCAAGGAAGAAATCCACTCCAGTCCTGAACAGATTAAACTAAAAAGTGTGCAATCCTATCACAAAATCTAAACATCACTTAGTCACTGAATTTCAAACTATTCTTTAGAAATCAAGAGTCAATTTAGGACCAAAACTTATAAAACAGGACAGCTTTGAATATTCACCCTTCCTAGCAACTCAGGGAGCAGTTGTGGATACTTTCTCAATTGTGGATAGGATGGTGCTGTCTTGAGAAGGAATGAGTAAATCCAGAAGTTAATGCCTGCTTTGATTTAGTTCTTTCCTGCCTTCTGCCTTTTTATTTCAACACTTCTTGAGGCTACCCTTTTACTTTAAATTTTCATTCCAAATCTTATTATGAGTTTAATATGCTTGTAGCAGAACTAGTCTTTTAAGAGTTAACATTATTGGTCCAGCTCAGTGGCTCACACCTGTAATCCTTGCACTCTGGGAGGCCAAGACGGGAGGATTGCTTGAGCTCCGGAGTTCGAGACCAGCCTGAGCACGAGCGAGACCCATCTCTACTATAAGTACAAAGAAATTAGACAAACAACTAAAAATAGAAAAAAAATTAGCCAGACATGGTGGCACGTGCCTGTAGTCCCAGCTACTCGGGAGGCTGAGGCAGGGGGATCACTTGAGCCCAGGAGTTTGAGGTTGCTGTGAGCTAGGCTGACACCACAGCACTCTAGCCTAGGCAACACAGTGAGACTCTGTCTCAAAAAAAAAAAAAAAAATTAACATTATTGATTACAGTACACATCCTCAGGACTTGCGCAACCACACTAATCTTTAATGGCCATCCTGCTTCCCAGAATATTTTGACTCTGAGCACACACACACACAAAAAGCACGTCCTGGCTCACAGATCATACAAGGGCAGAGAATGTGTTCTCTGCATTATAAAGAGCCCCACTGGAGCCTCATCAACTCCTAACCCTAAGAGTTAAACGACTCGGAGCAGCCAACCAGGGCCAGAGAGGCCGCGGTTCCAGAGACAAGGGGCTAACGCGCCAGGCCTATTCACCTCTCGGTCAAATCTTCCGGGTCTGCGTAGCGCCGGGTCTAGCGCGTCCGGCCTGTTGGTGGCTCCCACAACCACTACCTCGCGGTCCCCACGGATGCCGTCCAGCAGCGTCAACACCTGAGCCACCACGCGGCTCTCGGGGGCTCGGTGTGGACCGCCCCGCCGGGGACACAAGGCGTCCACCTCGTCCAGGAAGAGGAGGCTGGGCCCGCGGCTGGCCAGCTCCTGGGCGCGCTGGAAGACCCGCCGCACGTTCTCCTCGGTCTCCCCAGGCCGAGTGCCCTGCAGCGCGGAAGCACTTACTGCCAGCAGGTTCGCGCCCGCCTCCCGGGCCACGGCCCGCACCAGCTGGGTCTTGCCTACTCCGGGGGGGCCCGCCAGGAGCACCCCGCGGGGCACCGCCAACCCTAGCGTGGTCAGGGCGCGGGGGTAGCGGAGTGGCAGGCAGAGGAGCTCCCGCAGCGAATCGGCCGCCTCCGAAAGACCCCCCAGCGGCACCTCGGGCAGCGGCGGCGTTTCAGACGGAGGCTCCTCGCTGAGGCTGATGCGGGTGCAAGGGGTGACCAGCCCGGCGGGATCAGGGTTGGGCGTCCCGCCGACGACGTGCAGAGCGGCCACCGGGCCGGGGGCGCCCGGCGGAGCGGCCACCACGTGGCCCAGGGAGATCGGCCGGTTCCTCAGTAGCTCCTCCACCGCCTCCAGCACCACAGGTGGATTCGGGGCACCAGGCGCGCCTGCCCGCTCCCGCAACACTGGCCACACGGTGAGGCGCCGCAGGGGTGGACAGGGCACCAGCCAGAGGCGGCTCAGGCTGAGACTCTCCGGGGCCCCCACTGCCGCCCCGGGGCTCGCGCACTGCAGGTCCAGCTGCACAAAGCCGTCCGCTCCGTCCCGCCGAGGCCAGGCAGTGCAGAGGCAGGAGCCACCGGCGGGCAGCGAGATCTTCACCGGCGAGCCCAAGTGCGCGCCCAAGGTGCGGAGGGCGGCCGGGCCCAGGCGGCAGCGCTGCGTGCCCCGGTCTCTAGCGTCTGAGGGTAGCAACTTTAAGAGCGGCCCTTCGGGAGAAGGACCCGAGTCCGGACCCATTGCACACAGAAAACCTGGCAGAGGAAAGTGGGACAGGAAACCCACCCGGCCTGTAAAGACCGGAACACCGCTCTCCCGGGCCGGAAACAGGTGGTGCGCATGCGCCGGGAAAGACTTTTGGTTACTGGCGGGTGAGTGAAGGCCAAAAGGACCAATCTGAAAATTAGACTGTGTTCGGGTTCTCTGGGCAGCTGTGGTGTCTGCATTGATGAAATCAAGTCGGCTGCTTCAGAGCTTTATGAAGATAGTCTTCATTACAAGTATCTAGGCGGCAGCGTAAGCTAACTTCACTCGGTCGTTAAGCATGGACCTTGGTGTTTACATATACTTTGGAAGTCACGGGCATTGCACACTGTTTTCCTGGCCTTCGCGCTGGAGCATCACCACTGCCGCTGTTGGAATATCAGCCTAGGGACTTTGCTATTTTGTGTAGAAACTACGACTGTCCCGTGGGCACAGTATTTTGGGTGCTCTGGTGCAAATGTCTTAGGTGACTTGGAGTAACTGATAATACAGCCTTGGCGCCTTTGATAACCAGGGTTCTAACCTGTTTGAGGTCTTTCCTATGGAAAGGCACACTGTGGCATTTAAAATCCCTTGGAGAGGGAAAAGAAGGAAAACTTAGCTATCTGATGTATTTGTAGCTTACCAATGGTACATTTGTTCTGATTCTTGATTTACTCTTTTTTCTTCGGTGACAGCTTAATCATCACTATTTCCGTTCATACGACAAGTGCTTACTGTCTGTTTGGGGCATCGCAGTACTAAGTCCTGTATTAGAGGTGATATCTGTCTATATAACTGAGACAATTGCCTGCTATTATTTTTCCACCTGCTTTCCACATTTCCCTTCCCCGCAGGGAATTCCTCTTTCCTTTTTATCAGCTAGAATACATTTCTTATCCCTTTTAGCTCTCATTAAAAAGAACTACAGATAGTCACAGGCAAGAAAATATGCCTTCTTTTTATTCTACTCACATCTTCCTACCTGTGTTTTTCCCATCATCAATGCAACCCAAATATGTGGGATATCAAATTGATATTTCAGATAAGTTGTTGGAAGATTTTTTTTTCCTATCTATGCAAATAATCAATTACAGACTGTATAGCAATATCCTCTCAGTGGAAAGTACTGTCGGATCTGGGATCTTAAGACCAATGCCAATTCTTGGTCTCATTCTATCCAAACTTCATGGCAGACATTAAGACAGACTTGTTGACTCCACAGCAACTTATCTAGCCTCTACTGTACTTTTCCAGCTCCAGTGCTGGAACAATTTAGGAATCAGGCAATAGCAGGAGGAGGTCCTAAAATGGGTAAGTCACCCACTACTCCCTATGTTCTTCTTTTTCTTATTCTCATTGGCTTCTGTTTTCTCTGGTCTTCACACTTTTCAATAATGTTTGCACTTTCTGAAATACAAAAGCCAATATGTTTACTGCCCCCTATCATGATGCCTGTACCTCATGAAGTTCCTTTACTCCATATCTCCAAGAAGCTTTGAGGATCTAGGAAAAGAAAAGAAGACTTACTGAGGACATGGTAACTGTCTTAAATAGGTAAAGGGCTGCCATATAAAAGAGTTAGTGGATTTATGTATATCTACAGTACAAAACTGACCAAGAGGTGAAGGTTTAATGGAGTGAATTTAAGAATCTTCCTCCATGTCCGGCGTGGTAGCTCACGCCTGTAATCCTAACACTCTGGAAGGCCGAGGTGGGAGGACTGCTCAAGGTCAGGAGTTCAAAACCAACCTCAGCAAGAGCAAGACCCTGTCTCTACTTAAAATAGAAAGAAATTAATTGGCCAACTAAAAAAAAAAAATATATATATATATATATATAAAATTAGCCGGGCATGGTGGCGCATGCCTGTAGTCCCAGCTACTCGGGAGCGGGAAGCAGAAGGATCACTTGAGCCCAGGAGTTTGAGGTTGCTGTGAGCCAGACTGACGCCATGGCACTCTAGCCTGGGCAACAGAGTGAGACTCTGTCTCAAAAAAAAAAAAAAAAAAGAATCTTCCTCCTCAAATTTTGAGTATGCTCATGTGGAAGATACAGCCAGTGGGCATACCAAAGCCAACATAGGAAGGCAGATAAAGTTAAATCAATCTTAAATTCTTCTGCATTGGTTTTAAACAGAGGTAGAAGCTGTATTAGGGACATGATGTGAAGGAAACAACATGTTGCTTTGGGTTGAGATTGATTTTTATATGAGGTCAAACTAGAATCCTCTGACCTTGTAGGATCCATATACCAGGAAATATTCACTTCACCCTCCCTCTAAAAGGCTTAGTCCTCACCTTAGGTCACAAACAAAAGCAATGAAGAATTCTGTTACTGGGCCTTCACTCTTATCCACTTACTCTGAGCAAAACTGTAACTGTCTTTTCTAGTCAGCCAGTAAAATCCATTCCTATACTGTCAGATCATTTGCAACACTATTATTTCAGCCATATGAACATCCACATGTATCATACCATTCAATGATATAATCTTCTTGTAGAAAACCATTCTATTGGGAGTTAGTTGTGTGGTTCTTTTGCTGATTTGCTTTTAATCTGACCTAAAATGGTAATTTTATAAATTGAAGAGCACCAATTAAAGCACCAAAAGGTTGAACCACTAGAGGGAGTCCAGAACCAATTAAGCCTGAAGACTACAAGATTATTATGCTATAGAAGTGTTCTTAACTGGGGCTTCGGATAGATTTTTTCCCAGGATTCACACCGGGATGTTGAAACCATCTGTTGTCTCTATGTGTTAAGTGTCTTAGTTGTTTGGGCTGCTGTAACAAATTACCATAAACTAAGTAGCTTACAAACAGAAATTTATTTCTTACAGTTCTGAAGGCTGGGAAATAAAAGATCAAGGCAGATTCAGTGTCTGGTGAAGGCCCTCTTTCTAGTTCGTAGCTTGCTGTGTCCTCCCATGGTGGAGAGTGTTGACTAACTCTCTCAGGTTTATTTTATAAGGGCACTAATTCCATTCATAAGGGCTTCACCCTCATCACCTAATCACCACTCAAAGGCCCTACCTCCTAATACCTAAGGGTTGAAATTTCAACAAATGAATTTTGTGGAGGACACATTCAGACCATAACAATAACTTTATATTCATATAATTTTTACTTGCCTCATAGAACTCAGTTTCTAAGTTAAAATTTAATTTCTGTGTTAAATATAAAAATGAGGCTCTCCCTAAATCCAGAATTTAGTGGTATATCAAAATCCAAACAGATGGAATTCATCTTGCTGTAGCCTAGAAACATTTCTATCTTTGAGTTATTTCAAAGAGCTTTGCCAAACAAAATCCTTTGTGAGGTTTTCCTAAAAAGAAACATGTAACAAATAGATTCTCTTTATTTCATTTGCTATTATACATTCAAGGTTAGGTACAATCTGTCTAATATTCCATACAATATATCTAGAATTCAAAAGAAATAATTGGAACCTGTTTCTTTTTTACGGTAATGATTATACATGATTTTTGTGCCTTCAGCATAAATATTATATATTAAATATATTTCAGTATATGAAACCTGCCATAATTATGAAAAATCTAAAAAAATAATTAAACCAATACCATGAGTCATCTGTAAATCAATGAATGCCAATCCTTTCCTGTGTTTCCATTTTCATGTTATATAGAACCCTAACATATTTGAACATTAGCAACGTTTATGATGAGATGAATATAGATTCCTTTAGCCACACTTGAAAAAGCATGATTTGCAAATGCTTGCATCTCAGCATGCTCATGCAGATATCTTAAGTGACCTAATATGCCAAATAGATGTTCTTATCTTAAATTATAGAGCATTATTAAAATTGTTTTTTAAACTTTCCATCTTTATTCTTTATCGTGCATCCAGGCTATAATTATTCTTTAGAGTAATTCTAGATACAGAGTCAGATGTAGAGTAAGATATAGAGTCAGAGGAAGGTGGGTGAAAGTATTTGCTGTATTACAAATGACCCTCAGGCTACAGTTCATAGAACATCATTCTGAAAGTCTGTTCTTGAAGATTTTCAGGAAATTTCTTATTTCATAGTTTTTTAGAAGCTAATTTTAAGATAAATTTTTCCTATGATATTGATTCACACTGTTCAATTAATATAATATGTGTTTATTAAACAAATATTTCTTGAACATCTACTTCATGCTAGTTACTGTATCAGAGGCTGAGTATATAGTGGTAAAAACAACCACCACCAACAACAAAAACACTGTAATGGTTACCTTCATAAAGTTTATAGTCTAGTGGGGAAGTCAAACATTAAAGGAGTAAACAAGTAAATAAACCAGATAACTAAAGGTGATGAAAATTGCTATGAAAGAAATAAACAGAAAAGGGCTACTTTAGACAGGTATTAAGAATGGGGGGAGGGAGTTTTTTCTATTCTCACATACTACTCAGTCACTCAACACAATACTTCTGACACCAGATATATGAGGGTTTTCCCCACACTACAAGCAATTCTCTGGCAGACACTACCTGAGCATCCTCCAATTCAATTCTGATAATGTCTACCTGGAGATAACATCAGATCTCACCAGTTAAGGGTTCAATCCCTCAAGACTACCCACCACTCCAGATGCCAATCACAAGTCTCAGGTTGTGACCTGTGATTCTGACTGGTGATGGGCTGTACGTCAGGCATCCTATGACCCCCTTCCCAGGCTCCACTAATTTGCCAGGCTATGGCTCACAGAACTCAGGGAAACACTTTACTTACACTTGCCAGCTTATTAGTAAAGGATATAGTAAAAGATACAGATGAACACCCAGATGAAGAGATACAAAGGGGGAGGTCTGGAAGGGTCCCTAGTGCAGGAGCTTCTGTCCTCATGAAGTTGGAGTGCACTACCCTGTCATTCAGATGTGTGTTTGCCTATCTAGAAGCACTCCAAACCCTGTAGTTAAGGGATTTTTACGGAGCCTTCATCACGTAGGCATGATTGATTATTAACTCCATTTCCAGGCTCCTCCCCTCTCTGCAGGCTAGAGGTTGGGGCTGAAAGCTCCAAGCTTATAATCATGGTTGCTCTTTCTGGTGACCAGCATCTATCCAGGACCCTGGCGAGAGTTGCCTCAGTAGAACAAAAGACTGCTCCATTCACCAAGGTTCTGTGTCAGAAACCAGAGCAGAACCATTAGAACAAAAGATTCTCCTAAAACCTCTATCACACAGGAAATTACAAGAGTTTTAGGAGCTCTGTGCCAGGCAGGGACTGGGGCCAGAGACCAATATCTATATTTCTTATTATTTCACAACAGGAAAGCAGGGCAGGCCTCTCTGAGGAAGTGACATTCCAGCTGAGACCTGAAGGATGAATAGGAGCCAGGCAGAATCAGAGAAGAAGGGAAAAGGAAAAGCCTGTGCCAATGCCCTGAGGTTGAAATATGCTTCCTATTGTTTACAAAATGAAAAGGTCAGTCTTGTCTTTACCATACCTTTGGCACTTATTTTCTAGTAGTATTTTTTTCCTATGTTTTACATATAGGTGGATATTTTGTTACCCTGAGAAGATAGTAAGTTGTTTAAGGATAGAAACTAACTTTAAAAAATACATATCTTTGGCATATTTTACAGGAATCCAATTGTGTGCTGGAATATAGCTGATGCTCAGTAAGTACTCGTTGAATTGAATCTGACTGAATTTAGGGAGCAGCCTGGGGACTCATGCTGTATGGATCAGATCTTGTTCTATGTAGACACAGCAGACTCTTCAGGGCAGACTTAGGTAGACGTTGAACGTGATCTTCAAGGGAGGTATTCCTATTCCTAACAGGCCACCCCTCCCCACCCTGGCCACCACTTCTATCACTCATCCCTCCATTCATCCCTCCTTATGCATGCTTTTAAGTTTTTCGTTAAATCAATAATTATAAGAATCTGTTAAAATTCAGGATTGCCTCCATAATCATTGTTAATATTCAAATACTGTATACTGTATCTT